TTCTTTGTTTATTTAACAACAACTCACTCCAAAGTTGTTGCACTTCAATCCCCATAAACCATGTTGCTATAGTTCACTGGAAGGCATGGACACTAATGGTGGAGAATTATAATTGAGGAGATCAGAATTAGAGGTGCATGAATATCTTGGAGATTTGTGGGCTAGGCTAGACTGTAGACATTGGGAGGGATGAGGCCATGGTGAGATTTGGAAACAAGGATACAGGTCATAAACCAGAGGTTACTTGACCAGGAATGCAGTATAGACCAGCAAGCACAGGGGGTGACATGGAAGCAGGTTTGTGAGTTATTTTAATACATTCATGAGATGTTTCAAGCTGGCTAGGCCAGCATTTCTTACCCATTCCTTATTGCTCCTGTGAAGGAAATGGTGAGCTACTTTCCTGAAATGCTGCAGTTTTTGTGGTACAAAGCCACTCACTATTGCTGGTATGGTGGCTGGACCAGAATTTTAATTCAATGACAGTGAAGGAACAGCAATTTAATTACAAGTGAGAATGGTGTGTGACTTGGAGGAGAGCCTGCAGTTGCGGTCCTCCAATGTATTTGCTGCCTGTGTCCTCCTAGATGTTGCAACACACAGTAGAGTTTTGGCTGACATGAAATTTGCACAGAGTATGACAGTGCAGCCATGAGTGAACTAGAATGGTCAGTCTAGAGGGAATGAAAATAAGAATGAGGTCTTCACCAGCAGACAAGCAGCACAAGGAAAGTCATGTGATGTTATGGAGGTGGAAATAGGTGGTCTTCATGATAGCATGAATCTGAGGTTGAAAACTCATCTCAGATTCAAGACTATCCACCAATGGGTTTAACTTCAGACTTTTGACAGGAATAGGAATGGAATCATAAGATAAGTAATGGAGTTTGAAGTGGGAGCTAAAAGCAGTGACTTGAATCATTGTATTCTTAGAGAAGATTGGTTCGCACTATTGAGGTGCGCTGTGTATTTTATGAATGGACAGAATAAACATTGAAGAGCATCAGCCTGCGTTCAGCTAGAAAGATCAGGAAATTCTTTTTGCTTAAGGGAAATCTTGATAGATTTTATTTCAGACAAACAGACATCCTGGTTGAAGTTGGATGTATGAAATATCAGTTTTTCCTGGCTGTATCAGTTCTGAAGAAGGATCACTGGAGTTGGAACGTTAGTCCTGTTTATCTGTCCACAGACACTGCCAGGCCTACTTTCTTCAGCAATTTCTGTTTCTGTGTGTAAATGATCTTTATTGTTCATCTCACTCAGTTGCAGTGTAGCTGACAATCCATTTTTTTTTCTATTCATTTGTGAGACATGGGCATCGCTGGCTGGCCAGCATTTCTTGCCCATCCCTAGTTGCCCTTGAGAAGGTGGTGGTGAGCTGCCTTCTTGAACCGCTGCAATCCTCCTGCTGTGGGTTGACCCACAACGCTATTAGGGAGGGAATTCCAGGATTTTGATCCAGCGACAGTGAAGGGACGGTGATATATTTCCAAGTCAGGATGGTGAGTGACTTGGAGGGGAACTTGGAGGTGGTGATGTTCCCGTGTATCTGATGCCGTTGTCCTTCTAGATGGAAGTGGTCATGGGTTTGGAAGGTGCTGTCTGAGGATCTTTGGTGAATTTCTGCAGTGCGTCTTGTAAATAGTACACACTGCTGCTACTGAGCGTCAGTGGTGGAGGGAGTGAATGCTTGTGGATGTAGTGCCAATCAAGCAGCTGCTTTGTCCTGGATGGTGTCAAGCTTCTTGAGTGTTGTTGGGGCTGCACTCATCCAGGCAAGTGGGGAGTATTCCATCACACTCCTGACTTGTGCCTTGTAGCATAGTAGACAGGATTTGAGGAGTCAGGAGGTGAGTTACTCAACATAGTATTCCTAGCCTCTGACCTGCTGTTGTAGTCACTGTATTTATGTGGTGAGTCCAGTTGAGTTTCTGGTCAATGGTAGCCCCCAGGATGTTGATAGTGGAGGATTCAGTGTTGGTAACACCATTGAATGTCAAAGGGTGTTGGTTAGTTTGTCTCTTATTGGTGATGGTCATAGCCTGGCATTTGTGTGGTGTGAATGTTACTTGCCACTTGTCAGCCCAAGCCTGCATATTGCCTAGATCTTGTTGCATTTGAACACTGACTGCTTCAGTATCTGAGGAGTCACGAATGGCGCTGAACATTGTGCAATCATCAGCGAACATCCCTACTTCTGACCTTATGATGGAGGGGAGGTCATTGATGAAGCAGCTGAAGATGGTTGGGCCTAAGACACTACCCTGAGGAACTTCAGTGAAGTCAATAACCTCCTTTCTTAGATACAATCTAAAAATGTTAATATTCAATTTGCAATGCTTTCACCAAGCTTTATAATGAATAGTATCTGCTGTCCAAATACTGGTAGGTTTGTGCGTTAAAAGTATATCTTGTTAATCATCATAGAATAGAATCCCTACAGGGTGGAAACAGGCCCTTGGAAACAAATCCACACCGACCCTTGGAGCATCCCACCCAGACCCATTCCCCTATAACCCACCTAATGTACACAGCCCTGAATACTACAGACAATTTGGCATGGCCAATCCACCTAACCTGCACATCTTTGGACTGTGGGAGGAAACCCGCACAGACACGGGGAGAATGTACAGTCGCCCGATGGTGGAATTGAACCTGGGTTCCTGCCACTGTGAGGCAGCGGTGCTAACCACTGAGCCACTGTGCCACCCATATGTATATGGATCGTAAATTGAAATACGAGGTTAAGTCTGAATGCTATCCATAAGAAGTGCGCAGAATAGCTGATCAGGGTATGCCACAGCTGTAACTTTACTCGCTTCAATCACCAATGTTTATCTGTGCTTCTCCACGCTTGCATTTCCACAAGGGAATTTCCTGTTGGATGAGATTCAGCCTTAGTCGATATCAAGGGACAGTCGTCTCATAGATGAGGGTAGCAGGAAGGGTTCATCTCACTCAGTTGCAGTAAAACTGACAATCTATTTTAGTGATGTAACAGAATGAGTAGAAGAGGTGAAACAACTACGAAGAAGTGAATCAATGACACTGAACTCAGCCTCAGCTTCTCCTGCAGCATAGTTTAGTGTTTTGAAATCTGTCAAATCTGCTCCAGTTGTAACTCATTTCCTTTATACAATTAACCAGAAGTATGTAAAGGGAACTGAACAGAAGGAGTGGGAGACCTCATCACAGAGATCCAACATTGGATGTTGACTGTTAGATTCCTTAAATATCAGGAGTTTGAGGTGCTGAATCGAAGGAAATGGTTGAGATTGAAAATCCAAAACATGATGCAGAGCTTCCTGTACCAATGGCCCACCATGCCAACAATAAATATTTGATATCTGGCACTGCCCTGCACGTTCTCATATTGGAGTGATGTGAAGTACATAACTTTGATTTCAAGATGACGTTCCTGTTGAAAGTTATTTTGAGCCACAGAGTCATTACTGACACATGCTTATATGCTGGTACCAAGGTGCGAGCTTAAAAGAGCACAACCTGCATCCAGGTTCATTAATGTGATGCTTTTTTAAAATGCCTAGCATTAAGCTATGGTAAATTAACATGTAATAACACTGCAAATGACAATCACTTGTACACATGGAGAACTTGTGCAGTCAATTCCTACTAATAGTGAATTCCTACCAATCTTCAAGTCTTTCTTATGCCAAATCCTGCAGTCGCTTCCTGCTGAGTCTGAATCACAGAGAGCCAGCAGGCCATAAACTTAGCATTTGACATTCAGTGTGTCCTCATCACATGTCCTCACCACAGAAGTATTCAGATTTGCAGTAACAGTAATCCCTCATTTAAAATTGTGGTTCTGCTCCTGAAAACTTTAAGTGAAAGCACTTTAAACAAATCAGATGTTCCCATTAAAACTAATATAGAAACTCAAGATAGCTTATTGGTTGAAATACTTTACATTGCTAAATTTCTAAATTGTTAAATTCAATAACTTTCAAAATAAAATAATTCTAAGATTATGAAAAAGAAAATGCTATCGACTTACTTCTTGCCAATCATGCTTGCCAGCAATCCTGCATCCCAGGCTTGTTATTCACTTGGGCATTGTTCACTCTTCCTTTATTTATTCATTCATGGGATGTGGGTGTTGCTGGCTGGGCCAGCAATTCGTGTCCATTTGTGAAGGGGATGGTGAACTGCCTTCTTCAAGTGCTACAGTCCAATTGGTGAAGTTAGATTCATAATTTCATTAGGGAGGAATTTCTTCTCTGAGTGTTGTTATTGTTTGGAATTCTTTTCCACACTGAGCAGTGGAGGTTAGGTCAATGAAAATATTCAAGGCTGAATTAGATAGCTAGATGGCTGAGTTAGTTAGAAGACAGATCTGAAGAATTGACTCAGCAGCACAATCAAAATATATGCCATCAGTTTCAAACACACCATCTTTCAGATCTCTATATCTCTCTCACAAAGAAATTATGCTCCGCTCCTGCTGGGAATCACTTTGATCCTCATGCAAGTGCAGCACACAACCCATATGAGTGCAGGTCTATATCAAAAATGGCCTATGTTTACAGAATCTCTCCATGTCTGCTTATGATGGTCAGGACAGCATGAATCTACCAATATGACATTCAATTAGCAGAAACAACTCCAGCAGCTGTACTTTTATTTATTCTTAGCTTCCAGATCCAATATCTGTCTTCTTAAGACTGCTTGTATTGCACTACTGGATTCATCATCCACTGGACTCTGATGGTTCTGTCTCCTTTATGCAGTATCAATCAAAAGTTTTACTGTTCGATCTTAGTGTCAATCTGTTACTTTAGTATCTGGGAGTGTCAGTTACTTTTCTCCATTTCAGTTAGGTTCCATGGCAAAAGAATACTCAAAGCAAAGAGCTTTGCCTACAAGTTATTAAATACATACTCAGCATTAAAAATTAAATGTTCTGATCTTTTCATAACTTTGCTTTTTTTTTCAAAAACCTGTTTCTAATGTTCTTTCTGTGACTTTTTTTCCAGGTATTTATGGACCATTGGTAAAAATGTTTGGAAAAGATGGAAAAAAAGATTCTTTGTTCTTGTGCAGGTAAATGAAAATGAATATCCCAACTGTCTTTGACTTTCTTGTCCTCCAGAATTAGAAATTAGAAATTAAATTTGCAAATAAAACCTGCCAAAAATGTATTTTTTAATTAATCCATAATCTAATTGTTAAGTATCTCCTTTCACATTCTCATGTCATTAGTGTCATCTGACTAGCGACGAAAATAGTACTTAGCAAATAAATGGGAACTTAGCTGTGTTTGAATGAACTTCAAGAATTGACAACAAGGTGGGCTGTCAGAAACATTGTAAGGGCTTGTCAGTAACTTTCTATTGTTAAGATAGGATAGTGAGAACATGAGTCACATTGGAAACTTGAAAAAATAGTTGTAAACAAGTCAGAGTTAGCAGTAGAATAATGCAGACTATAATGTACTTAAAAATGATAGAGTGGTAGAGTGGTTGTGTTAATCCAAAACAATACAATTGCAGCAACATAAAGCATATAACTAACAGAGATGTAATTAGAATTCGTTTGGACTAAGATTTTAGTCACACTATTGATGATATGCAACACACCAGCAAGAACGTCACGGAGATAGAGAAATATGTATATGACTGTATGAAATAATTAGAAAGAAATAGATGTAATCATGATTATGGAGGATTTCAACTACTCTAATCTAAACTTGCAGTGAAAGGGGTTGAACAGTGAGAACAGGATGGAACTTATTCCACTATGCAAAAAAAAATCTTTTTGAGCCAATCTGTAAGTAGCCCAACAAGATTGCAAGCACGGTTATACCAAATAGTGGATAATAGACCAGTGTAACTGTGAGCATCTGTGCAGGAGTAATCAGAACATAATAAGGTTTAAGATAACCATTGAGAGTGACAAAGTAATTGAATGGATAAAAATTAACTGCAGATGTAGACAAAAAAGGTAAACTGGAAGAAATACTGATAAAAGGATAGAAGAACAATGGGCAATATTTAAAAGAGAAATCCATAGAGTTGATGAGAAATATGTTGCATTAAAATATGAATAAACCAGCCAAAATAAGTATTATTAAATCAATAGAAAGAACAAATATAAAATACATAAACAATAAAAAGAAAAAGATGATTTACAAAAATTCTTTAAAAAGACAATTTAGAAGCCAAAGAGGAATTAGGAAACTGAAACATCAAATGAATATTATGCAGAATAGTAAGTGTTCTGTATATGTAATAAAAGAAGAATTAAAATAGTTATAGAGCCATTAAGAGTTGAACAAAATACACTGAGAACATAAGAAATAGACCAAATACCCCCTTGACCCTGCTTTGCCATTCAGTACAATCATAGGTGATCATCAGTTTCAACTCCACTTTCCCACCCATTCCACATATCTCTTGACCCCCTGAGAGGCCAAATACATATCTATCTCAGTCATAAATACATTCAACAAACATCCAAAATTCCATGGGTTAGAGAATTCCAAACATCCACAACCATTTGCAGGAAGAAATTTCTCCTCTTCTCAGTTCTAAATGATTAGCCCTTTATCCTAAATGCTCCATGTTCTGCACTCTCCATTTAGGTGAAGCAAACTTTCAGTACATATCCTGTCAAACTCTTCATAATCTGGTATTTTTCAAAGAGATTACCACTCATTCTTCTAACATTCAGAGACTATCAGCCCAGTCTACTCAGCCTTTTATCACCAGACAATACTCTCACAGCAGGGACTAATGTTGTGAGTTGTTGCTACACCAACCCCCAATGCAAGTATATCCTTCTCTAAGTATGAAAACCAAAACTGCACAAGTATTCCAGGCATAGTCTCACCAAGCCCTTACAATTGTCATAAGACTTCCTTATACTCTGGCCTCATTGTAATGAAAGCTGACAAGTCATTTGAGTTATTCCTAATTGCACCTGCAGACAAACTTTCTGTTTTCCTGGTACAAGTACACCCAAGTCCTTTTGAATTTCAACATTTCTCAGTTTCACACCTTTTAAAAAAATTCTGTTTTTCTATCTTCATGAAGAAAGTGATTGACATCACGTTTTTCCATATTTACTTCAGTCTATTCATTGCATTAAAATCCTGAAATTCCCTCCCTAAGAACATTGTGGGTCAACCCACAGCATGTTCAAGAAGGCAGGTCGCCACCACCTTCTCAAAGGCAACTAGGGATGGGCAAGGAATACTGACCAACCAGCAATGTCCATATCCCATGAGTGAATTAAAAAAAAATTGGTGGCAGGTGATACTAAAATCACTGCGATACTGAGTAGAGGCTTTGCCTCAGTTTTCACCAGAGGCTAACAAAGAGGCAATGAGAATAGCAGAAGAAATTAATAGGGATCTTAGAACAGTTAAAATAGAAATAAAAGAGATACCAGACAAACTGTCTAAACTTCATTGGACTCAAAACACCAGATCCAAATGGATTGCATCAATAGATGATCGAAGGAACTGGAGAAGGGATAGCTGCAGCACGAGTATTCATCTATAAAATTCAGTCAGTAAGGAAATTGGAATTTCTATTGTCAAAAAAGAAGGTATAGCTAATTCAGGGAGCTGTAAATTAGTTAGCTTAGCATCAGTGAGATCAGATAACAAAACATCTCAAGACAGACAGTATGAGAAAAATTGTCAGTAATGATTTTTAAAAGGATAGCCTTGTTTAACCAATCATGTTGAACTCTCTGAATATCTAACAGGAAGAATAGACATATCACAGAATCATAACTGTGTTTATGTTGTGAGTCTAGTTGAGTTTTTGGTCAATGGTAACTCCAGGATGTTGATAGTGGGGAATTCAGTGATGGTAACACCATTGAAATTCAACAGTCTGTGTTGAGACTGTCTCCTATTGGAAATGGTCAATAGCCTGGCATTTGTGTGGTGCAAATGTTACTTGGCCCTTGTCAACCCAAGTCTGGATATTAACCAGATCTTGTCGCATTTGAACATGGGCTGCTTTAGTATCTGAGGAGTCGCAAATGGTACTGAACATTGTGCAATCATCAGTGAACATCCCACTTCTGACCTTATGATGGAGGGAAGGTCATTGATAAAGTAACTGAAGGTGGTAGGGCCCGGGATACTATCCTGAGGAACTCCTGCAGAGATGATCTGGAGCTGAGATGACTGACCTCCAACAACCACGACCATCTTCCTATGTGCCAGGTATAGAATCATAGAATCATAGAACTTTACAGCACGGAAACAGACACTTTGGTCCAACTTGTCCGTGCCAATCAGGTATCCTAAATTAATCTAGCCCCATTTGCCAGCATTTGGCCCATATCCCTCTAAATCCCTTCTATTCATATACCCATCCAGTTGCCTTTTTAATGTTGTAATTGTACCAGCCTCTACCCTCTGATGCCTCATTCCATGCATGCACCACCCTCTGTGTGAAAAAGTTGCCCCTTATGTTCCTTTTAAATCTTTCCCCTCTCATCTTAAACCCATGCCCTCTAGTTTAGCCTCCCCCGCCCTGGGGGATAAGACTTTGGCTATTCATCCTACCTATGCCTTCATGATTGTATAAACTTCTATAAGGTCATTCTTCGGCCTCCGACACTGCAAGGAAAATAGCCCCAGCCTATTCAACCTTTCCCTATAGCTCAAACTGTCCAACCCTGGCAACATTCTTGTAAATCTTCCTTTCAAGTTTCACAACATCCTTCCTATAGCAGGGAGACCAGAGCTAAAAGTGGTCTAACCAACCTCCTGTAGAGCCACAATATGATCTCCCAACTCATATACTCAATGCACTGACCAATAAAGGCAAGCATACCAAACGCCGCCTTCATTGTCCTGCCTACCTGGGATGTCACTTTCAAGGAATATGAACTTCAAGGTCTCTTTGTTCAGCAACACACCCCAGGACTTTACCATTAAGTGTACAAGTCCTGCCCTGATGTGCCTTTCCAAAATGCAGCATCTCACATTTATCTTAATTTGCTCTATCTGCTACTCCTCAGCCCAGTGGCCCATCTGATCAAGATCCCATTATACTCTGAGGTAACCTTCTTTGCTGTCCACTACACCTCCGATTTTTGTGTCATCTGCAAACTTGTTAACCATATGTGCTATGTTCACATTCAAGTCATTTATATAAATGACAAAAAGCAATGGACCCAGCACTGATCCTTATGGCACGTTCCTGGTCACAGGCCTCCAGATTGAAAAGCAACCTTCCACCACCACCCTCTGTCTTCTACTTTCAAGCCAGCTCTGTATCCAAATGGCTAGTTCTCCCAGTATTCCATGTCATCTAACCTTGCTAACCAATCTACCGTGAGGAACCTTGTCGAACACTTTACTGAAGTCCATGTCGACCACATCTACCGCTCTGCCCTCGTCAGTCCTCTTCATTACTTCTTCAAAACACTCAATCAATTTAGTGAGACATGATTTCCTAAGCACAAAGTTTGTCCCCGATACCTATTGATTCCAGTTTTGCTGGGAAAATTATCCAGTGCCCTCTTGAATGCCTCAATTTAACCAGCCTCCACCATATTTCCAGGCAGTGCACTCCGTTTCCTAACTACTTCCTAAGAGTTTTTCCTCACTTCACCCTTGCTTCTTTTGCACACCCCTTTAAATCTACCTCTTTACATTTTTGTTCCTTTTATGAGTGGTAACAGCTATCTAATTAAGGTCAATTAATGCAGAGAACACGAACTTTCAAAATGTATTAGGCAAGATATTGATGATGGATGTTCAGGAGTATGATGTGAGGGGTCAAGTCGCAGATTGGATTGAATGACAAGAATGGAATGTAGAAGGTAATAGTTAAGATAAATTTATCAGACAGATAGAAAGTGTGAAGAGGTATCCTGCAGTGATCCATTTTGTGATCACTGTTGCTCACCATGTACATAAATGAAATGGCTGACATTTAAGTGCATATTTCAGAATTTATACATTCCAACAAAAAAGAAAATTTCCAAGGGGAATACCGCCATCCATAGTTAACTAAAAAAGTTAAAAGATAATACCAAACTTGAAGAAAAGTGTGCAATTTTTCAAAGTTGGT